ATAGATAACTTGTGCAGTTTAAGAAGATTCCACCCTTCCCGTGTTTCATGTGTGAATGGATACTGCTATTGGGATCTAACATTTCATTTCTACATCCTCAATATAGCACTGTGACATGCTTATGCTGTAGTAGGTACAGTATTTATGCAGCATGTTACAAACTGCTTAGCACACATTCTTGAGGAGGTACAGTGTGTGTACCTTCCATAGATAGCTTGTGCTCGTGGCAGAGAGGAAAAGCAATTTCTGATTCCAGATGTTTCCTTCTTAGTTTTTGCTGCCTTTGCTAAATGTATTTCAAAATATAGGCAGAAAACTTGCGTCCAAATAACCTGAGCTAAATATAAATAACTTGCTTAATTAACCTGAATTGCAACTAATCTGAATACAACATCCCTAATATAGTGTTACATTCATTTAAAAAAAAAAAAAAAAAGGTAAATTAAATATTGTAGGATTGTGTTTGGGCAGGTAAATGAAACTTATGAACAATCTTCCGTACAGGAAAAGATTCTGCAATCTTTTCCTTCCACTGTATGCGTTCATAGCAGTATTAAAACTGGAGAGCAGTTTTATGTGGCAAGCATTTGGATGACTGACATCTTAATCATTTAATTTATGAAGCACAGGACATAAGTGAACAGAAGTAATGCTTTGTTGTCTTTCAGAATAGCAGGTAACAGCCTACTTAACTGATTAAGTTGACAACAACCTTCTATGCAGCATCTGGAACTCTCAAATTGTGGATCTGGAGTCCACAGACAGCCCTGTGAAATGCAAGTTCAGTATTCTTTCGAAGCAATTTGCGCATTTCTGCAACCGCGTGTGAACAGGCTGGCAGAAACCCAGCAGGCTTTCCCCGTAGAGGGGAAAAAGCCAGCCGCTCCTGCAACCCCCTGTGGATTTAGTATTGCAAAGTTCAGAGATGTGGCACTGTGGCAAAAGTTTAACAGTAAATTGCAACAGTTCTGTCCAGCTAACTACACAAGCCTGGTTCTGTGTTGGGGAAAATAAATCAAACATCAGATGGAGCTGACCAGAAGCTTCCCAGGAGTCTTGTAACCTTCATTTTCTAAATAAAAAGCAAGCAGGAAGAGTTTAGAGGGAAAGCATCTATAAGAAGTTGTATTCCTGAAGATTTCAGCCACAGTTTCCAGTGAAAGTAATGGCTTCTTGGTTTCTACTTGTTTGTTGAAAGGGGCAACTTCCACATTTTTTTTTGGCTGTATCTGTCCCCCTCTGAGACGGAGCAAGGTGGAGGCAAAGTGCCTCCTGAGATTCTGAGAGAGAAATGCAGATGCTTGGCATTACCTTCAGATCAACATTCTGAAAAAAAAATTGCCTATGTTTAACATCTTACCGTGTTCATCCACGTACTGCCAGCTGCCCTTTCTAGAAAACAGGAGGTTCTCATGAACTCTAGGCCTGCAAAATATGACTAGCTTTAGGTGCTGATCATTTCTCATTAACGTGGAGGCTAGAATAGTGACGGTACAGAGATGTCATCTTTTAATGGAAGGATGTAAGTGGGACTTACAACCTTCAAGCACTAGCTAATTAGGACATAACAGACTAAAGTGCTGAACTCCTGTAGTGAAAACTGTACCTGTCATTCACAAAATTAATGGCATGCTAATTTAAATGGTCAGCATCATTTGAACTGTGGAAATACTTTATAAAAGCAAAAGGCAAATATATTAAAAGGTTAAGGGAAGGAAGTACTCCTGTCATTGGGGCAAACAGTGAGAAATACCCCTAACATGAAGCAGCATGAACTGCCTCTAAGTAAGAACATACTACTTTATTTAGAAAACACTTTCAAAACCCAAGGTGCTTACATAGACTTCCCTCAGAGAGAATGGGGTTTAAGTGTTGATTATAATTTTCTGTTAGTACCAACCACTTTGTGAGCCTGCTATAAATGTTGACAAGCAGATCTGAAAATTAGAGTCTAGCCTTTTTGGTGCTCACCTTGAAAATGTTGCCTAATTTTTTTTTTTTCATTTGAAGGCCTGATCATATCTGTTTGTGACAGGATGCAGCAGCTTTCCCATCACCATACCATGTCCTGATCTAGTTTTGTTGTGTCTGAAAAGAGTGACCATAAATCTGTATTTAATAATGGGTATACTAGAAAAGCTCTTTGTTTGTAAAATGATGTATTGGGAAAATATGAAGACCATTAAAATCAGAGGTACCACGAGAGGGTGCCATTTCTTTGATTTTCACAGCTGCTAAACTTCTAGAGTTCTGATGAATCAGTCTGAAGAGGTGCCTAGTCTCTGAAATTTGAGGGTGTTAAGACTCCGCTGGACATATCTGTCTCTTGCACTTAACTTTGCCTCCAAATCACAGGACCACACAGGCTGGTAGGTGTTGGAAGGGACCTCTGGAGATCACCTAGTCCAACCCCCTGCTACAGCAGGATCACCCAGAGCAGGTTGCACAGGATCGTGTCCAGATCGGTTTTCAGTATCTCCAGAGAAGGAGACCCCACAACCTCTCTGGGCAGCCTCTTCCAGTGCTCTGGCACCCTCAAAGTGAAGAATTTTTTCCTCATGTTCAGATGGAACTTCCTGGGTTCCAGTTTGTGCTCGAATGTTTGTGCCTTCAGCTTTCACCTTGGCTCTCGGAATAAACAGGCTCTGAGTTGAGAGCAAGTGTTTATTTCTAGTGCTGCTATGCTGTACAGCAGCAGACAAAAACTGGTAACTGCCTGGTATTCTCCCTCCAGGTCACAAATAGGAAAAGACCACTTCTGGATGGGTGTGTTAATGTCTACAATCCCAAATCTCTATCTAAAAATGCCCATTTTCAGTCAGATAATACCCATTTATTGCACTGATCATCCTGGTTTCAGCAGGGATAGAGTTAATTTTCTTCCCAGCAGCTGGTGCAGTGCTGTGGTTTGGATTTAGGATGAGAACAATGTTGATGACACACTCATGTTTTCAGTTGTTGCCAGTCAAGGACTTTTCAGCTTCTCACACTGCCCTGCCAACAAGGAGGCGGGGCGGTGCCTAAGACGGGTGAGGGGGACACAGGCAGGACAGCTGACCCAAATTGGCCAAACGGATATTCCACACTATATGATGTCATGTTGTGTTTGTAACTTGGGGGTGGGGTGTTGAGAGGTGTGGCAGCTGGGGGCCTGGCATGGTAGCTGGGGGTCTTGCACGGTAGCTAGAGGCCTTGCACAGCAGCATTCAGAGTGATGGTGTTTGTCTTCCCAAGTCACCATTAGGCGTGATGGAGCCCTGCGGTGCTGGAGATGGCTGAACCCCTGCCTGCCCATGGGCAGTGGGGAATGAATTCCTTCCTTTGCTTTGCTTGCACGTGTGGGCTGGGGAGCTGGGGGTCATGCATAGCATCGACTTTGGGTGATAAGAAATTGTGCTGTTCATCACTTGTTTTGTATATTTTTATTATTATTTTCCTTATTGTGTTTGTCCTATTAAGCTGTTTTTATCTCAACCCATGAGTTTTCTCGCCTTGACTCCTCTGATTCTCTCCCCAACCCGAGGGGAAAGGGGAGTTAACAAGCGGCTGCATGGGGCTTAGCTGCTGGCTGGGGTTAAACCACAACACTGACCTAAGCACAACAGTTTGTCTAGTAAACCACAAAGACCTTACTACTGATACAAAATGAGAACTAAAAGACAAACGTTTTTCAACCAGTTATCCAGGTAAAAATTACACCAAAGACACTTCAAAACATGAGTTTTGCTTCTAAAGGAGTTCATCCATCATCCTAGAAATAAAAAAACGCATGACACACTAAAAATAATCCATGTGCAACAGCACATGGGGATGACGCCATTCAGATGTGACTCAAATCCTTCTTACAGAAACCATCCACAATTTTCATTAAGTTAAGCTAAAAAGGCACTTCTTGTATAACAAGGCAAAATGAACTTTTCAAAAAACACTTTGACAATAAAAAAAGGATTTTAACCTTAAATTCTGTGAGTTAGGTAACTGATTGGATGTTTGGAATTTTCTGGTCACAAAAAAAAGTTGTGAAAAATGTGTATTAGAAATATCTTGATCTTAAGCTTTGAAGTGGTTGTATGGACACCTGTCCATAACCATACATTGGACTGAACATCAGCTGAGGTGGAAGAGTAAAGCACCCCAGAAAAGGGAAGTGAAGGAGAAAGTCCAAGTGTGAAAGTGTAAGTTAGTTTTTCTAAAAGAAAGAAATACCTACCCATCTTGTATTCAGTATCTTAGATCACTTGTTGACTCACTCTCCACTGTACTTCATCAATGGGTGTGCTTTGTACATGAAAGATGCGAGTTCAGAGTCAAAATGATGCCACTGACACTTTGTTTCTAAAGCTGTCCATACAATACAATATTTTGCATATTGCCTCACCTCCACACAATTATACTTCGTATATTGCCTCACCTCCATACAATTATATTTCGCATATTGCCTCACCTCCCTACAATTATATTTCGTATACTGCCCCACCGCCACTACCTTTTCCCTCACATTTTTCAGCTTGGTGTTCAATGCATACAGTAAGAGTTCATGAAAGCTCTCATGAAGTCCCCAGTGCGCTGGTGAGCTTAGCAAGGACACAAACACAGAAGCTACAACCTGCTAAGAATCTGGCAGTGAGACGGTGGTAGTGTCAGGCACAGAACTTCATCATGCATGTTCCTGCCTCTTGTACTTCTAGAAAAATAACTGTTTTGTTTCTAACAAAGCTGTAAATTATTTAATCTCTTAATAGCAGATATGCCTATCTCCGTGTTTGACAGAGTAAAAATTAAAATGAAGACATTAAATTATTGTATGTGACCCTTGGCAGGATTTTCAAAAGCAGACTCTTCCTAAAATGGGAGATTTAACTTCATGTGATGAAGAGTTTAAAAAACTGATAGTTTTTGAAAATTTCATCTTTTATGTCTTTTACAGAGCTATGATAAAAATTCCAATAGTAGTAAACCAGGTCTTAGCATTGCAATCCATTTAATTATAAGGGAAAATAAGTTCTTTTGATTTAATAATCAATGTAATAATTAAAATGCTGTTCCATACCCTTGATATCCTTATGGGAATTTCTGTATGTGTAATTCAGAAACTTCCTGCAGAAAAGCCTCACCCTGAAAAATGGCGTGCTCAATCTCCAGCACTATTTCAGGGAGAGATTTTTCTAGACTGACAGTAATAAAATTTTCTGGTGCACTAGGAGGCTCCAGAGTGTCAAACTGAGACTTGAGAAGTTCAGGTGCCATAAAATGTCCTCTCCTCTTCTCCAGGCGGCCAGCTATGATGTCTATAGGCCCATGCAAATGAACAAAGAGGATCTGCAGCGCTGCGTTTTCTCCTGGTTGCTCTGGCTGATTGCTTTCAATTCCAGATGCTCCACTAACTAATATACACCTATACATCTTCTTCAGTGCAGAACAGGCCAGAATTGCATCTTGTCTAGATGAGTCTTCTCTATCAAAAAGAAAAAAACCCACCCAAACAACATCCGTATGTGATTTAACAAAATGGGTCATTTGTTCTGCTGAACAAGGGAGACAAGTTCTGGATCTTTGCAGAGGACATACTTGGGAGTAGTGGCATTTTTTTGTCATTTTGACAAGATTTTGAAACCAAATTTCCAATGCAGGTAAAGATGTGATTTGAAAGAGAGGTCAGGCTAGACAGCCTCCTGGTAAAATCTCAATCTTGGAGACCTTCTTTATTAGCCACAGTTCTTTCCTAAATTAAATTCAATTCTAGCACAAAGAAGTGTCATGATCATTTCCTTAATGGCTGAGAACAGCAGCAACTGAATATCCATACAAATACCCATCCATTATCTATAAAATTACTACACTAATCTGCCTAAAGAGTAAGTGGCTGCTGAACAGTACAGAGGTCTGTTCACATACAGACCTCTGTATACATATTCAGGTATACTTCCAACACCTGTTTTCACTGGCTCAAATTTAACTGTAATGATAAATTTTATGTTTCCTGTAACCATACTCACTGGCAGTACTGCACATATGCCCACTTCAAGTTAAACAAGGCATTGGATGCAAGTAAATTAATGCCTTGCACATGTACTTTTTACTGGCAAGGTTTCTTAAAATAAAGCAAGCATAAAACCGTGGGTGTGTCTGTTCCACTGAAAATCAAATCCAGAATTAGTCGTCTCTATGAGAAGTGACTGAAATGCCTAAGAAAGTACCTTCTGTAATCAAATTAAAATTACGAAAAAACCCATTTAAAATCATGCTACATTTGTCAGATTTTGGTTCACCAGGAAATACGAACTTAAAAGAGCTACTGTTATCGCATAGATAAGCCAATACAAGCCTCAGTTACTTATTAAGTACTAGTAATTAAACATTGGCATTAGGCTCTTTTAAAGTATACTCAATTTTGCAAAGTTTCTGGAGCTGGGCAGTGGCCTTGGGCTAGCATGTAACATAAAGCAATGGATCCGGTGTAATAGTCCAGACAAATTTCTCAGTGAATTAACCCACGCTCCAAAAAGGCATGCTCACCTGATGTGCACAAGCAAGTAACAGCCACTGTGTAAAGCCAGGCTAAACAGTCCCTGGTCTCCCAGCCTCTCCTCATTTGGCGGATGCTCCAGTCCCTTCATCATCTACATGGCCCATCGCTGGATGCTCTCCAGTATGTCCATACCTCTCTCAAACTGGGGAGCCTAGAACTGGACACAGTAGTCCAGGTACAGCTACAGTGTTGAGGAGAGAAGAAGGATCGCCTCCCTTGACCTGCTGGCAATACTTTCTCTAATGCAGCCCGGGATATCACTGGCCTGCTTTGCCAGAAGAGCACATTGCTGGCTCATGTTCAACTTGAATGTCCACTGTGGTCCCTCCAGGTCATTTTCTACAAAGCTGCTTTCCAACTGGGTGCCCCCCAGTGCCTGCACGGGTGCCTGGGGTTGTTCCTCCCCAGGGGCAGGACTTTGCACTTCTTAAACTGCATGAGGTTCCTGGCAGCCCATTTCTACAGCCTGTCAAGGTCCCTGTGGATCAGCCACTCCTACCAGTTCTGTGTCATCTGGAAACTTGCTGAGGGTGCACTCTGCTGCATCAGACAGATCATTAATGAAGATACTAAACAGGACGGGACCCAGTACTGACCCCGGGTGTACACAGCTAGTTACTGGCCTCCAGCTGGACTTCATGCCACTCATCATCAACCTCTGCACCTGGCTGTCCAGCCAGTTTTCAACCCACCTCACTGTCTGCTTATCCAGCCCATACTTCCATCAGCTTCTCTGTGAGGATCCTGTGGGAGATGGTGTCAAGAAAACTTGACACCGTATCCTAAACTAACAATATTTTACAAAATTTTATCCTGCTGTCGTTATCGGTGTATTTTGTGGTTATATTCTAAGTAGCTAATGCCAGGTTTATTATTGAACTGGATCCTTGAAATTACTTTTACATAGACATTAGAAAAACAACTATCATTGGCAACAATTTTTCCAACACTATTATTCAGAGATTATCTCACTCTCAGCAATTATTACCACAGCTTAGATTAGTGAAAATAATGCTTTACTGCCTGTAGAATGTTTTTACACTGCTACATACATTTCTGTTTTGGAATGCAAGGAAGAAAATAATTTTGGCACTTTTTTTGTCTTTAGCCCAAACTCCCTGAAGCTAGATGTTCTCTTACCTCCTCAGTATATCATGCAATGCACAAAGCCAGGGAATCCTGTCCTAGAAAGAAAACAAGTTAGTTCAAAATTGTTTATGAAATTGATTTGAAATAATTGCTTCTAACATCTAGAGCATTTAACTAGAGATGAAAATTAGCATTGAACTGTACAGCAAGTTCAGTTTTGATTATCCTTCTCCCTATTGTAGATCTGCTATCACTGCCTGAAGGCTAGTCAGAAGTGCTAGGCATATTTTTAATAAGATGTTTTTAGCGGAACAGTATTTTTTATCTTACAGATACCTACAAGTATCTGATGGAAGTAATATGTATTTACATGTCGCATGCACCTTGCAAACCTCTAAAGGACAGTCACCTTCTCTCTTGCTTCTATTATACAACTCAAATGTACAGCCTGAATTGTTATTTCTTTTTCCTTATATCTTGACATACATACACAATGCTTTGGATCAAAGCTGAAGCTTTCAGGAACAGACAGATCTAAATTTAATTATCTGCAATAACTTAATTATGTCATTTTTATGTCAGTAGCATTCACAAATAAATGTAATCACAGCCACAATTTTGCAACACCTTTGCTCAATAGTTAGGCAACCACAATGTGAATGACTGATCAGCTTCTCATTATAATCTTATTTTAAATTCTAAGTCCCACAAACTTTTGTCATACCTATTGAGTGCTAAAGGATTGCTCTCATTTCGTCTTTCAATGCTGCTACTGCTGGATGAGCACAACAAATGATAACATGGACAAATAAATGCACCATTTTTTTGTTATTGTCATTACAGAATAACTTCCCACTGGCATTCAAGAACACCTTCACAACTTTGCATCTCTGGTGTTTCAGAGGAGATGCTTCCCTCTTGCTGTGCACCATACACCGATGGTTCAGTCATTCAGTTGTGCAATGCTGCTTTGGATGACGTACTGTTCTATATGACCTTCCAACCACCAGTGAAAGATTAAAGTTTTTAACAAGAATCTAGAACATATTTTCAGTCTCTAGAGAGTGCTTTGAAGAACTCCCTCGTTTTGCTTTATGCTTCTAGAGATTTCCCAGAAAACACTGAAGGGGTGTTACGTAGTAACTTTTCTAATTTACTCAAGTCTCTGAATTCTTAAGTATTGTAAAACTAAACTTGAACATTTTTATCTTTTTAGGCTAAAGAACAGGCTGAGGGGAAGGAAGCACATTTTAAGTAGGACCATATAAAACAGAAGTAATCACTTCTGTAACTGAAAGTGATGAAATGTACATCAGTAGAGACATCCGTCTGTCTTCATGTATTTAACTCAAAGAAGCAGCATTTAATCTAAAGCTGCAATTCTGTATATTGATGTAGAGGGAGTGATTTCTGACAAATCCTGAATCAGCATCAAACCCCTTGTGAGCTACCAAGCACACTTTGATAAACTACTTTTGATAAACTATTTTTTATGCAGAATCTTTTGTATCACAAAAAGCCTCCCTCTCTCACCAGCTGCACACCCATAAATTCAGCCTATGCTTACAGTTGAGTCTACATAAAACACAATCTACTTTAACACAATGTGCCAGAGGTTACAAAGATAAATGTGTTCATGACTGTTCTTTCAGTGTTTATACAAGGTACCTCATCATTTAGTGGTATCCCTTCTGCCATCTTCTTTTTATTCTCTGGAGAATGATAATCGTCTGCATCATAGAATTTCCATCCCAGCTAAGAAAAAAAAAAAAAAGTACAATTATGGATCATTCAGGCAAACCAGGTGAGCTAATAAGGATCCCAGAATTTACAAAGACGACACCTAAGACATTGCAGGCCTCTTACACCACAGTATGAATCACCATTCATGTCATGATGATTAGCAAAAATTACAAAGTCAGCTTAGCGGCAGCAACAGCATCAGGGCACGACGTTAAA